AACGACAACCACATTTACATTCATAATCATTGAGAACAAGAAGTAATCGATAATGATGACATAATTTAGCAAAATATTGTTTTTGAATAGTTGAATCTGAGAGTTTTGCTTGAATAGGTAACGAGAAAGGTGATGAAATCGAAGAAAGACAGGTACGAAAGAGATGACGACATTTCGACATGGATTTATTATTTGACGGAAGTTGTGATCGACGACGTGGTGGAGGAGGAGGTGGCGGTCGTGTAAAAACAGTTTGATCATCTTCAAGAAAAGCTATAATTGATGATCGACATCGAGGTGCAGCTGAATGTAAATCTTTCGCTTCGAGAATTGTTCGAGAGGTATATGTTGATGACTTGCTTGATACTGTAGAAGCTATTGAAGATAGGGAAGTTGATGATTGCATGACTATCTAAATAAATTTAAAAAAATACTCAATAATTGTGAATATTGACTATCAAGATAGAGTTAGTTGTGAACTATATGTGGTAGTATGGAAATGCTTTTTCGTTTAAATAAGATCGTTCAATCGGTGTGATATTTCAATTAGAAGAGACGAAATATTTATCCAATCAATCATTCAAGTATTCACTCTATACATTCTTACGAATGTGTGAGTGTGTGTTATATTCGATTGAAAAAATCAATAAATATATGAGAGATGAATGTGATTCTGCTTATATTTATAGATGAAGATTGCATAGAAGAGAAAAATATGAAAGTGTTGACTAATGTTAATGAATACTAAACGACTTACATCAATTGCATCCAATCAATTAGGCATTCACTAATTTGTACTTTTTCTCTATTCAATAAACTAATGAATAAATCGACACTTCCGATCAAACACTTGTGATGATAGTGTTTTCTTTTTTGTATTCACTTTTCGTTCATAAATATTATCATATGATGAGATCAAAATTGACTAAGAGAAGAAAAAAGACGAATTTGTTGTTTATAGTAAACAATGCCCTAGAGAAATCGAGACAGTCGGTAAAATTTTGTTATATGTCAGTGATATGATAAATTTTTATAAATAAAAATAGATTGCAGGTGAAAATAAGCTGCATGAAGTTATATATTATGTGATTGTTAGATAACTTACCAATTTGTGTTAATCTCTCGATTGTTATGAGAAAAGCGCATTAATATATTCGTGTGTCGTTATAAGTGACAAATGCAAAAGATGGATTTATATGTATTTCATGCATAATAAATTTCGCTATATTGAAAAAGAAAAAAAAACAATATTAAATTTTGATCATTTCTCAGTCGGATAGAAATATGAGTTCTTCCTCAGTGGTATTAAGACAATGCAAATAAATTCTTCACATTTTTTTTTCGTTACGTAATTATTATTAATTGTTTTTGTTTCCATCTTGTTTTAGTTGTCCAAGGGTGCAGTCAATAGGGAAGATGTGAGAAAGATGACACTGAGCAATAATGTATCTAGTTGAGGAAAACTCACAGCTGAAGAATGCATATCGAATACATGCTGTTTCTTTTGATCAGATGAGTCAAATGGTTTATTTATTTTGTCATCATTGTTCATAAGGTGTGTAACGAATTCCTATGTTAGTCATTAAATGTATTTGTGAGTATTTTTAAAAGAACTAGTGTGACGAAGATTCAAAAGATTATCTTTTTTTTTTCATTACTCTCGTATCGAAATACAAAAAGCTTGTGACAAAAATATGATCAATGAACATCTAGAAAAACATATAGAGAATATGAAAAAGAATTTCATTTGAATGTCATTGAACAATGAAATAACAATACGATTATTCTAATATAATTAATAGCAGGTCGAAAACATTTTCTCATAAAAATTGTTACTTCAGCATCTGAAGACGAATTGAATAAAAGGGTATGAAGAAAGCATTAAGCTGCATTACCGTTCGAAACACTGTATTAATCATATTTTTTTTCGTCATTTTATAAAATAATTTCTGAGTCAACGTGTGCTCGCTTAATGCAAATTTAATTTTATGTCAATCATATTCATCGCAAATTATACATTTTCTAGTCGTCAAAGTATCTTATTTCAAGATATGGATGTTTATAGTTCTAATCAAAAGAGACTTTCACGCGATATAAGATGAATACTGCAATGAACGAATCATTTAGGAGTCACGTACTCAGTCCAAAATTAGTTCTTGATAATTCTGTTTTTCTTTCAGCTCCAGAAAAACTCATCACGATAATAGTCCTCCTCATAGAAATACTTGGTCTGAAAATTTTCTGTATTACACTTAGTGCTCACTTCATTTTCAAGCTTCTCAATGTAAAACAATTTTTTGATCCATTTAAAGAAAGACACATTTATTCGAGTGTGAATACATTCGTAGTTTTTTCTTTTTTTGTTAAAAAATGCAAAAAATACAATTTATTATTACAAATCAAAACTTTGTTCATCATCACTAGAAAAATGTCTTGTACGAACACGTTCACGTAACAATTCAACATCACATAGATATTCAGATGGAACTTTTGAACATATTAATTCATTTGATATAACTGTTACAAGTTTATTTTTATTCCACATTGATACTTCATTTTTTGTTTCATATAAAATAACAAAAGTACCTTGTCGCATTGAAAAACGACAACCACATTTACATTCATAATCATTGAGAACAAGAAGTAATCGATAATGATGACATAATTTAGCAAAATATTGTTTTTGAATAGTTGAATCTGAGAGTTTTGCTTGAATAGGTAAAGAGAAAGGTGATGAAATCGAAGAAAGACAAGTACGAAAGAGATGACGACATTTCGACATGGATTTATTATTTGACGGAAGTTGTGATCGACGACGCGGTGGAGGTGGAGGTGGCGATGATGGTGATGGTGATAAGAAAATAGTTTGATCATCTTCAAGGAAAGCTATAATTGATGATCGACATCGAGGTGCAGCTGAATGTAAATCTTTCGCTTCGAGAATTGTTCGAGAGGCATATGTTGATGAATTACTGGATATTGTAGAAGATATTGAAGAAAGAGAAGTTGAGGATTGCATGATTTTCTAAACAATGTGATAAGATAGATATAGTGCTTTTCTAAAAGATGAATTGTTCAATCAAATACTCATTGTATGCACTCTTACCGATATGTATATGTATCAATAAATGTATGAGAGATGAATGTGATTCAGCTGATATTTATAGATGAAGATTATATAGAAGAGAAAAATATGAAAGTGTTGACTAATGTTAATGAATACTAAACGACTTACATCATTTGAATCCAATCAATTAGGCATTCACTAATTTGTACGTTCTCTTTCTTCCATAAACAAATGAATCGACACTTGTGAGTATACTTTTTTTTCTTGTATTCACTTTTCGCTCATAAAGATTATCATTTGATGAGATCAAAATTGACTAAGAGAAGAAACACGACGAATTTATTGTTTATAATAAACAATGCCCTAGAGGAACCGAGACAGTCGGTAAAATTTTGTCATATGTCAATGATATGATAAATATTTTTTAAATAAAAATAGATTACAGGTGAAAATAAGCTGCATGAAGTTATATATTATGTGATTGTTAGATAACTTACCAATTAGTGTTAATCTTTCGATTGTTATGAGAAAAATACAGCAAACGTCATTTTTCTTATGTAAGGTGTAACGAAAGTAAAATGGCTTTGTATTCGATTATTTACGGAGCATTTTTGTATTGCATGCTGCTTTTTTCAGGCATCTCTAAAAAAAATTTGATTTTAGTTAAGAAAACAGATCGCTGATAACTTGAAGATGTAAGTGTGGATCTTGTGTTCAAGTATACCATCAAAGTAGATGCTTTATGTATAATAAGATGCCGCATATCTTGTGAATTACAAGCAAAAACTAACTGACAATGTTACTTTAAAAGAATACTGCAAGACAAGAAGTGCATTTAAAAAACATGAACTTTTTTATTCTTCGGCCTTTATTATGATGTTGAACGAGATAATAAATGCAAAGACAATGGTCGGTAGTGATGAATCTGGTATGAGGACAACCATATCTACATAGATAAGCGCTTCAATTGACATGATATTTGTTTATACATCAACTTCATTTTTAGTAATAATAGGAAGACTATATAAGCGTATAAGTAATACGTGTAAGCTGAGGTCATCTATGAAATGGATTGGTTAAAAGGAATAATGTTTATAATATTTATATTCAGTGCTCATACCTTTTTTAAATATCCTTTTAAAAGAGTATTACCGATGTACAAAAACGATCATAAATTGGTTATAAATCAAATAAAATTGAGCGATTTTATTCACTCATAATCTGATTTTAAGCCTCTATTTTAGCTTTTTTTTGTAATTTTTTTAGAATTTTTTCTTAATTTCTTTTATCGATAAAAACTCATTGATAAATTTTAATTACTAAAATTTTTTACAATTTTGTTGAATCGATTAGAGACAATAAAAAAAATCTTAACAATAAAAAAGTAAAACTTGACGACTAAAATTCGCATAATGATCAAGTAAAGAACAGTGTCATTGTAATAGACTCATGATGAAGAAATAATTCTGTTTTAGTCTAATATCTCGCTTGTATTAGCATGAATGCATCACACTAGTAGTATATTCATACAAAAATAAAATATTCGTCAATGAAAACAGGAATTCTTTGTGAATGGATATCATCATTAAATTGAGTCGAAGTCTTTCATCACTATTTATCAGTAGGTCGAGATTCATTCTTTTTGTTATTATCTGCTTGACGCACTTATAAATTTATAAGAAGTGTTGAATCTCCGCTAATAAGTATCATATACACAAGTTCTTGTGAAACCGATTAAAATCATGAGATCCTCACTAACTGGCGGAATTAAATAGATGGCACATATTCTACAGGAAACGATTTCAAATGATTTTTTATAATTTTTCGCCGTGCAAGTTTATCTTTTATGATTAAAAGATAATTTTCGAAAGTATTGAGTATTTGATAACTGTACGAACTTTTATAAAAGAATATCACCTGACTATTCTTCGAGATTGATAAATAAATTCTTGTGTAAAAATATTTGTAAGCATTGGCATTAATCATTGATTATGACTAGAAACGAGTATGAGCGAGGTACAAAATATGTTAACCGTATTAAATATTATTGAGTATATGTTGTACCAAATTTCGAGGTAATAAATTTTCTTCCCTGGTAATGTATTCTTCGATTGCATTCAAACTGAACCATACAAATGGTTGAAAAATACGATTTGCTCGTATGACTAATTTTTTACTATAATACAGACAATATAATGCGCTCATATGATCATTTGAATTTCTAAAATCTATTGCTCGTTGCATGTAGTACATACCAATATCATATACGACACGTGCCAATAAATCATTAGGAAAATCAAACATAAGTAAATTATCAGTAAATTCAATTGCCCAATTCACATGTTCACGAATCTCTTGACAAAAAATAAAAATTTTTTTCAAACATGAAAAAGTATTTAATACATCAGGTACAAATTGTTGACCTAATGAACCAGAAGTAATTAAAAATATTCTTTTATCACGATTTGTGTTAATTAATTGTAAACATTGTTCAATGGTTGTAACGGTAATCAATTCTCTTGTGGAATGATAAATTTTTTCATTTAAAATTAATCTATCAATCTCATGTCCCAGAAGAGGTTCATCAGTGGTGAGATTTACAGCATCGGCTAATGTCTTTTTCAGATCAACACAAGCATTATTTAAACCAATATATTGATCGAGCCATATAATTACATGATCATGAGTTACACCCATAGGCCAATTACTTATTGACATTGTTGGAGATTCTGTCGAAGCTAGAACATCGGGAAAAAAATAGAATCGTTGTTTAAAAGATATAGAGCATAGATATAGTTTTAGTTATTCTTTTGAAATAATGCAGGATGAGAATGAACAAAAATCTTTATATAAAACTTCATTCATATTGAAATTTAATACGATTTTTTTTGCTTTCGCATAAACTTGTTAATAATAACTACAATAGTCTGGTACATTTATATTTTTTTTTCTTTCGATAGGCAATTCATTAAAAAAGATTT